GGGGGGGCCTAGAATTCCCAATATTACCCTACTAGTATATTTTATATTGTTTATTGTAGCATGATTCATTTATATTGATCTTTAGCTTTTCACAAAAATCAGTTAGAAGCGTAATTTATATAAAAAATAAAACATTTGATTAGCTGTAACAACTATTCAAGTATTTCAAAAACAAAAATATTTTTCTAATGTTCAAAAAAATTATGCAAATATCATATTTGCTATTTTAAATCACTTAAAATTAAATATTATTCATAAATAAAATTATGCGCAATTGGCTAAAGTATATACAGAATGAAATTTTGGGCTTACTTGAATACATTTTTGGCAAGCATGACCATGGCGATACATTAGGTTCTAATAGTCCTTTGCGTCCTCCATATTATTTACCATATTGTAAAAACAACGCACAATACTTTTGCGTTGATAACAATTTAATAGTAGATTCTGAATGGAATTTCTACACTGATTCCGATTCTAACCTCAGAACTTTCAGATTGATTCTAGTTTATGAAATGGTCGCTAATTATTGAAAAGCAGTTAATTACGTATTTATTTCTCATTATAACATTATACCACACCCCACGAAAAATACATATGTATTGTTTAATAAGAGCAGATGTGTCAAATCATATCAAATCATCCAAAGTGGTCACGTGACCATTTTGAATTTTTTTTGAAATTTCACACATGATTTTTCCTAATATATAAATAAAAAAAAAAAATTTAGATGAACATTTATTTATGACCTATCAAGTCGGAAAATTAAGACATTATTTTTTTTGTATTTTAAATTAAAACTTATGTAATATACTTTAATTTGAAAATAAAAAATTGATCTTTGGACTTGTTTTAGTGATGAAAATGACTATTGTATTAAAAAAAATGCTATTTTTGAGTTAATATTTTCTATTTTTTAAATATTTTTTTGAAAATATTGGGATCAATAAAATTTTTTTTTATAAACACTTATTATATATCTCTTTTATAAGACAAACTTATTTTTTAAATCGATTTTTCTTTATACAAAGGGGTCCAAATTTAATACACGCGTAGAAAAAGTAGAACTTTTTCAACTTAATTATTAAATATATTTACAATTCGTATCTATTTTAAGATATTATCCACGGACAATGACAAAAATTTCCTCTTTATAAATTAAAAAGTTAGCTTATCCAATTTTCTACAAATAAACAATTAAAATCATTAATTTCTAATGTTTTTATTTTAGAATTAGTTTTGATATGATAATAGGTTTCAATTACATAGATGAATAATTTTTCTTTGTTATTTATTAATTTTTAACTCTATTTGTGTAGTCTACTAAACAGACTATAGTATTCCAACATTTTTGGTAACTTGTTATTGAATAAATCATTTCTAAAAAATATTTTTAGTTTTCATTTGAATTTAACAATGGATTTTTCCAACTATAATCTATTTTTATAATTAGAGATATTTTTAACATTTTTTTAGTTTCAATGAAAAACTGTGTGCGTTATTTAAACACCAAGAGTTATATAGAAATGATAACCATGATTATAATTGAAATAATTTTTATTTTTATTTATTATTTATTAATTATTTTTCATAAAATAATTTTGAAAAGTAATTATATAAGTAATTTTTAATCACATATTAATATAATCCTAATAATACAGAATCAAAATTAATAAAAAATAAAAAATGTATAAACTTTTGTAAAAATCAATTTTTAAGGACCAAAAATAGGTTTTACAAGATAATGATTCGAAATTTTTGTACGGATTATTTTTAACAAATTTAAAATCAAAATCAGTAATAATTTTCTGAAAAGTTATGCCTTAAACCTTTAAATTTTTTACTCGTTGATCATAGAAGTAACGACAAATAGTGTATGACTACACTATAATTTTTTATAATTTCTCCTTTAAAATTGCGATACTAAATTATTGAATATCAATTTCATACTAAATTTATTTACTATTAGTATTTATTCATATTTTTATTATACTTATCAAAATCAAAGAACTACTATACAGGATATAATTAAGGAAATAAGATGATGCTTTTGGAATAATCCAGCATTTTTTTTTAAATTCAACACTATCTATACTAAAGATTTGCATGGAGTTATTTTTTTTATGATAGTTATTTTAATAACTTTCAAATATCATATATACTTGTCCAACAACTATGTATCACAACTCCATTATGCTATTGTTTTTTTTTATTAAAGTTATTATTTTTGCAAATTTGTCATTATTTTCTATTGAAATCAAAATTAAATTAGTTTATAATGGTGTTCATTTTATTAATAAACTATTATTAAATTATCATAACAACTAAAAGATATAATAAGAAATACTAAAATAAAAATAAGTGTTATCTGTATTTCAGTTGAGTAATTAATAGAAGTTATTTTTCATCTTGCTCTTAAAATACCTGCTATTATTTTTAACAGTGATTAATTATTTTTGTTTTTTTCTCGTTTAATTATAAATATATTTTCTTAAATAGTTTTGCATATAAAGTTATTTGTAATATCATAAAGATTATTTCCCATAATTTATTAAATTAGTGTCTTGTTTTTCTATTTTTTAAGTAATCAACATGTTTAATTAANCATAAAGATTATTTCCCATAATTTATTAAATTAGTGTCTTGTTTTTCTATTTTTTAAGTAATCAACATGTTTAATTAATAAATTTACATTTTAAGCGTATAGAGCTGTTCAAATAAACTTTTAATTATATAAATTATTTTCGTCATAAATTGTTTTGAAAAATAATTTTAACATCGAAATAAGTATTTAAATAATTATAAAATACCTCATTTAGGTTTGAATGCTTAGTTTTATAAAAAAAAAAAGATATTTTAAAATGAATTTTAGTTCAATTATAATATTTCTAATCTTTGCAATTTACGGTATTTATATGTATATATTTTTTTATATACTTATATTAAATATTATACTGTATTAATAGGATCAATATTAATCAGCTTGCTAATAAAATTTGTTTTTGTTAACTATTTTAGGATCACTTTGTACAAATTTATTAAATGGTAAATATTTTTAGATATACAGTTTTAAAATTACATACAATTTTTTTTAATTATAAAAAGAAAAAGAGTATTTAAAATTTTAAATATTATATTATTAGCTATAGTCAAATATGTATACTGAGAAATATTTGTATATTAGTAAATTTAGTATTTGCAAGACACGATATACATGGCAATAATACGTCGACATTTTTTTTTTAATCTGTTATGTAATAAATTATTAAAAAAACTCAATATTTCGTAATTTTCATGACTGAGATTTTATTACTAATATACACATATACAGAGTGGAACAGATCTAACTGACAACTCATATAACTTATTATCTACATGACATTATTAATTTCTTTTTTTTAATATTTTCAATATAGAACTTTATTTGAAATATGTTTTATGTTATTTTTCGCAATTACAAAAAAAATATTTAAAAAATTAATTTTTTTATTAAAATTTTTTTTAAGATTTGAAGATAGATAATTTATAAAGAAAAGTTTTGATACCAAAAACTCTTTTTTTAATTCAGTAGTTATGTTTATATAACATTTTGAACTTTGTTAAAGTTTGATTTTCCGTCCTTTACATGATATGGACTAACATTTGATACTATAGAAAAATAGTAATAAAGAATCAAAATTTAACAGTTTATACTTATATTTAACTTGATGTATAAACGTAACTACTGAATTAAAATGAGAGTTTTGGTTTCAAAATTTTTATTTGAAACTTATCTATAAAATAGCCATTTTGAAACCTTAAAATAAATGTTAATAAAAAAATTAATTTTTAAAATATTTTTTGTAATTGCGAAAAATAACATAAACCATATTTTAAATATAATTCTATATTGGAAAAAAAAAAATAAAGATGTTTTGTAGATCATAAGTTATATGAGTTATCAGTTAGATATGTTCCACTATGTATTTTATAGGATACTTATATATTATATAAGTTTCCCGTTTTATTACATATCTAACAATAAACTTTTATAATAACTTTTTTACAATGATTAGCTATATTTTTAAACCAACTTAATTAGTAAAAAAATCTGTCATGAAAATTACGAAACATTGAGTTTTGTAATAATATACTACATAAAAAATTTAAAAGGAACTTTCTAAGCTAATTTTTTGTTGGTTTGGATAAATAGTTGAAATTTTCCATAGAAAGTAAACATATTGTGTAAGATTTGTATGATTAAATTTTTTTCCCCACCGGAGAAAAACTATAATAAAGTTGAATTAAAGTCATTATTTTAGAAATTTAAACTTTTTTAAATTTGTGTTAATAAAAAAAGGTCAAAATAAAAAATCTTCAAAACAAAATTATGTTATAATACTGAATAAAATTAACATAATGCAAAAATATTTCATCAAAATATTATATTTCAATGTTGATTTTAATTTTGAAAAAGTTGTTTTTTTTATTAAAAAAACCTTACTTATAATTACTTAAATGATAAATTAAAAATTTAAAAACTCTATTGTTAGGATTAATAAGAATACTAGTTAACAAATTAAAAAAAAACGGTAGCACAGTGGGGTCGAGGCACAGTGTGGACGAGGCATAGATGGGACAAGTATAGATGATATCTGACAGTGATTAAAATCACTATCATAAGAAACGCTTCGATGCAAATCTGTAGATAGTGTTTCCTTTAGAGAAATTGGTGAAATATTTTAAAAGCAACATGAACTCTTATTTCTTTAATTATATCCTGATTAGTAGTTCTTTGATTTTAAAATATAATATATGAATAAATACTAATTATAGTTTTTAAATTTAGTATGAAATTGTGAGGCCAGCTATGATGTATGGTTCATAGTGTTGGGCGGTTGATAAGAAAGTAGAGCAGAGAATAAGTGTAGCAGAGATGAGAATGCTTAGTTGGATGAGTGGAGTGACTAGAGAAGATAGGATAAGGAACGAGCATATAAGAGGAAGTATAGGTGTTGCGTCAATCGTGGATAAGATGACAGAAAATAGACTTAGATTGTTTAGTCATGGTATGAGGAAAAAAGAATCGATAGCTGTAAGAACAGTTATAGAAATGAATGTTGAAGGAAGAAGAGATAGAGGAGACCAAAAAAGAGATGGAGGGATGCTATTGAATGCGATTTGAGGACAGCTGATGTGAGCGTAGAAGATGTGGGAGATCGTGTCAAGTGGAAGCTTAGGATAAGGGTGGCCGACCCCAAGTAGTTGGGATTAAGGCAAAGAAAAAGAAAAATATTACCAGAAATTCCGGTGGCAATTGACATAATATGATTGTAGTTTCGGAATGTACAATTTAGCGTTTAGTTGGGTTTAAATAATATAGCGTCAAATCAATTACCTACTCTATCGCTTGTATATTAATATACACTACACTTTAATGATACAATAAATAAATAAACTCACACATACACACATATGCATTTATAACATTGTGTCTAACGTAAGTGTAACATGATAAAAAGTAACCGTAAAATGAAAAAAATGAAAAATAAATTTTAGTACTCATATTAAATGTAATGTAACTCGAAAAATATTTGTTTCAATGTTTAAATGAAAAAATATATGATAATTTTTTTGTTTATAATTGTCTTTTAAACAACTTTTATACGAAACTTTTTTTTGTAAGTTAAATATTTTTTGAGAAAGTTAAAAAAGCTCATATTTTGGACTTTTGCGAGGCTGTAAAAAAAAA